AAAGTGCTATATAAGTGTAAGCAATTATTATTATTATTATTATTATTATTATTATTATTATTATTATTATTATTATTATTATTATTATTATTATTATATACTGAAAGCAGATTATAGTGCACAGACATTTGAAACCCCTTGTGCTAGAGATGGTTTGTCTTTGGACTTTCAGGGTTTTAACACGTTGCTTCCTCCATGACAGGGATCTAACAAGTGGCATCACATTCATTTCCTGAAGGGATGAGGTGTCTGCTGGTTCTTGTCCAAACGTAAGCTCTTATTTAGCTCAACAGATCTAGCTTCTAGCTTGAGGAGATTGTTTTCAGAAGCTGATGACATAAATTAGTGCACAAGATCAAGGTAATGTGCACAACTGAAGCGTTAAGGGCTTCAAATTAACCATGTAATTACACTGTGATACAAATTATGCTAAATAAGACATAAATGAAACAAAAGGTGGAAAATTGCGCTAGACACCTGAGTTGTTCATCTTGTAAAGCAAATTTGAGCTATGAGGTTCTGGCACTTCAGAAAGGAGGTTTATAAGCATTCCTCCATATAGAATTGCTTTAAATTGTTCAGAACCTTTGGTTTCAGCCTAAGAAGTCTTGATGAGTTCAATGATCTCCTCTCATTTCTAACTTTTCTTATGTTATGTTCCCACTAGTGAACAGCCATCTTGGGTTAGAATCAATGTTTAATTGAATTGATTCCTTCATACCGAGCTGGACAGCTGAGAACATTTATCGATTTAAGAATAATCTTTGGATCATTTTTATGCTGCGACGTGCAATTTTTACCAATTTAGAGCTTCTTGTCTGGCCAACGTTTCCTGGTAGGTGTTGGGAGCTCCTCATTTCCCTCGTCTTAACCCCAAAACATAATACTTCGCAGTGGGCATGAGTGTTTTCTAAACATGAGTTTAATCTTTTTTTCTGCCAAACATAACACGGATGAGCATGTCTGAGAAGCAAAATTTTCATTTCGTCTGACCGTAAGACATTGTTTCTGTTGGCATTTACGTGTTTGGCAAAGTTGAGCCGCCTCTTTTTGCAGTTGACCGTCAGAAGAGGCTCTGTCTTGGCAAACCCACCAACGAATGCCATATTTTTTGGGGCCTCTTCGAACGGTAGTTTTCCATTTGTTTCGCTGTCACTGACAACAAGGAGATTCATTTATTCATTTATAAATGTACTCAAAAAACAATGACCACTTACCTGCAGTCTCTGAAGATCTCTGTTCGTAACCACGAGGGTGCAAGCTACTACTGACTTTTGTGGTGTGTTACATCCTTTTATACATCAGGGAAACAGGAAACCTTCACCGTCTTCCATATAAATCCAGAGGGTTTCATTGCACCTACAGTTGAATGTAGATTGTTTTGTTGAATTGTATTTAAAGGAATGCTTAGAGCTGTAAATATGTAAATGTGATCCTCTTGTTTTCTGGAATTTAATTATTCATGAAATATTAATGTGTTCTTTGCATCATTACAGAATAACATAAGAATGATTTAAGTGAGACACTATCTCATCTGTAACTCGTTCTGCTATATGATGTTACCCTTTCAACAGGGGTATGAATAAATCGATAGGGCACTGCATCTGATACTCTATGGATCTGTTTAATTAAGACTGTTACTGTATTCCAACTTCGGAGTGTATAATTACTGATGCAAAATACTTTAAGATGACTGCAGATGAAATGTATGAATAAAAAAAATTAAACTTGGTTCCTTAGTGCTGCAATCGATTTTATTCTTCATGTTGGTTTTAATGCAGAAAAAAAGCAGTAGGTGATTCCTCTATAGCCTTGGAAATGTTACAAAACAGCGACAGACTACAAGGCTTTTCAAATGTAACAAAAGTAAAAGGCCAAAGCTTTTCCATTTACCCTTTTAAAAATATTTTAACAGTTCAAGAAACAGCAATGACAATCTCAGTACCCTTCTAGGTTGGTCAAAACAATGGCTTTCCCTTTTCAGAAATGCACATTTTTTTCATACATTATACATAGGATATTACATAAGAGCGTTATTACTTTCACAAAAGTAAACAACGTGACCAAAATTGGTTTCTTTCCTTGTTTTCAATCTGCTGTGGGCCTCCTTTTCTAAAATGTTCTATTATCTTTAACCTCAGTGACATTATAAATATTTTTATGTAAATATTCTTATGTAACAGACATAAAAAAATAACAATGATCAAATCAATTATTCATTATATGCAGATATTTTAGTGTTCTGATGAGCAAGCAGCTACTGGCAGAGAGAACTCTGTGCTTTTCCTTGCCTCATGCTGTGACCTGCTTGAAAAAATTCAGAAATGGCCTGGGGACAAAGAACTGAAAGATCCCTTTTGCCTGATCAATCTTCATCTTTCTGAACAAATCCGAAGGCAGAAACAGAATGAGAATATATTAGAAGATGCACGAATGTTTTAAGTAGGAAAACTACATGCATTTATAATTTTGCACTATACATGAAGCCTAAAGCCACATAATACAACAAGAACTACAAAAAACTTTAAATTAAGACTTATTTTACAATCAGAAGGGCTTACAATATTTTGTGGACAATCATTATAATGCTCAGAATAATTAACAATTAAAAACATTCTGCTTTTAAAGATGCAGCTGGATATCAGGCAAATTAAGCTGCGTTCTGAAATCATTGTAACCTCACAATGCCAACAAAAATAATTTAAAAGATAAACAACCTTTTCCTGCAACCCAGAAATGTGTTCATTCCTGCAATGTGCTGCTGAGCAGATGCTTTCTTCAGGACAGCACAGATGTTGGTAGATCAGTTCCTCACCGCCAGCATGGAGTTTATTTCCCAGATGAGGTTGCGGAGCTGATCCATTATTTGCTTCAGCTGTTGATTCTTCTGTTTAAGCTTCTGTAATAAAAAATAAAATATAGTGGATTTTTCCCCTCCTGTTTAAATGATATTACCATTCTATTTTCAGAGGTAGAACTTAAAAAAGGATTTTGTCAAAATGACATAAAAGAGCTCTGATCTCATCCTAGCCTCCGGCTCTGTCTCCCAGGGGCTCAGTGGGTGCCGTTTTAACACTTTGGGAAACACGGTCAGTTTCACACAAGAAGCAAATAAATCAGGTCTGCCTAACCAGGAAAGCAGTAGTAAGACATTATTCTGCAGATGTCCCAGATTAAGTGCTGTCATTAAATGAATGAATACACCCATAAACATCAAAGCTTTCCTGTTGGTTATATCGAAACGGACTTTCTTAATATGCTTCTTACAGGGAACTACTGACAATGTCAGTACATATTTCTGTGAATAAAAATATAACCACAGCAACATATGTTTGTAGAAGGTCTCAATGGGAAAGGCTCAGCACTTTACAAACAAGGAGTAGACCGATGCGTTTTAAAATCTCGATAGACGTACTGAAAAGACGAAAATCTCCAGCAAGTCCCAGTGTTATAAAACTGATGACTCAAGGTTACTTGTTACTACAGTAATCAAAACTATGGTGCAAATTTCTAAGTTATTTTGACATAAAGTTGCTTCATCTCTAAGAAAGAAGAGTCTTTGTATGAACATCTACAACTACAGAAATAAACTTTAGGGGCACACACAAAATGTATATGATTTTTATTGTTACCTTGACAAATTTAGGTGGATCATAGCATTTATTACACTTATTAATGTGTCTCTTATTAATGAGACCAGATTTTTCAGGCCCTTGTCTCTTTGCTCAGGATTCTTGGACAAGAATGGAAGATAGTGGTACCTTGTGGATGACAGAGCAAAATGCACATCAGTGCATTAAAGGCTTCAGAGAACGAGTTTTTTTGTGGATGTTGGTTACATCTCAACAACATCTCTTCAGGAGTAATTTTCTCTCAGATACCCTTATTTTATGGCACAACAAGAGAAAAAAATCTGCCTTTTTAGCACTACAGCTAAAAGTAAACTAAATGCAGTTATTATGCAGAGTAATTATACTGGCTTCTGCCGACAACAACTGAATGAAACCAAAATCCTAACCACCTGTCTCGCAAATCACAAGCATAGTGCTTGACAGCAACTTCACACAGGCTAGACATAAGAAATGCTTGGCAAACAGAAACGTCAGAATAAAATAGTGTGTTTGGAATTTGCAGCTGGGAGGTGGGTTGAAGTTTTAATTTAAAGTGAGTATAGGAGCTGCTGCAGGGCAAATTACAGCACATCACTCTTTGGAGCAGCAAAATATCATGTAATGTGTACGTTGAAGTTTCTTTTCCTGAAAATGTTTTACACAGGACACCCTCTACAAAGATGTTTATCTTATTGGCTATCAGGTACAAATGGCCACTCAAGGAAAAAGAAAAGAAAAATAAAGACAAAACTTGATGCACTCAAACAAGCACGCCATACCCATAATAAAACTGTATGAGATAGAAGTACATAAAAAAGAAAAGCACAAAAATTACCTAGAGAAAAGCTCCATCATACATCAAAAGCTACAATGAGAAGATGGTCTTAGGTATGGTAAGAAGGCCTGATCAACAGTTCTTGGATTAAGATATGAAATAAAACCTTAAAATAACATAAACGGACTGTTCAATACCTTATACACAAGCAGGAGAACCTTTAAATTAATTGTAAATCACATTGAGCCAAGTGCAAATGTGCTGATGCAGAGTACATATCAGCAAGCCGCAGAATTCAGTATTTCTACAAATGCTTGTTGAATTCATTAGGAGACTAAGGCATTACAATCGCCTCGATAAAAAGGTTTATATCAATATTTCAGCATCAGACAGGCAGAACAAGGTTTTTGATTGAGCAGTGTTACACGTGTAGAAGAAAAAGACCCTTTGGAAGTTCCTGTAGCCGTTAACAAACGATAACACAGAATCAAAAGTAACACCAATGTTTCTGCCTTAATCAAAGGCATGTTTTCTAGCGGTAATAATGTAATCCAACAACGGCTGAAGTACAAAGTGCAAAGACAAAGAGTGAACCAGGGAATTCAGCACAAAAGAGGTGGAGCGAACAGTGAAGTGAGCTAGCAGAGAGCAACGGCATCGGGATCTAACAACGGGCAACACGTTCTGAGAGTCAGGGCTGGAGCAGAGGGCCACTGCTGACCACGACAAAATCAGGAAATCAGGCAGGAGCAGCAGAGAAGACGAAGAGAGAGGAAAGGTCCCAGCTGAGCATATAAGCCACTGCAGATCTTGCAGCAACAACAAATAATGAGTAAGGAAAGTTGGGCTTGGAAACGAACCAGTAAAAAAACAAGCGAACAAAACAAAAAGATCCATCCATCCATTTTCTAAGCGCTTGATTAAAATACAGGGTTGCAGGGCAGCCAGAGCCTATCTCTACTAGTAACGGGCAGAAGGCAGGATGCACTCAAGATGGGACACAGATAGCACTCTGGGAACTGAACCCAGTTCACTCAATTACTCAACCCTAATATTTTGATATTGTCTCAGTGTGGGGAAAAAAACTGAAGCCCTGAGTTCAGAATTTAGGATTTTAAGGAGAGATTTATTGCGTTTTTCATTATCGTCTGTGAAATTGTTCTGCAAATTGAAAAGAAGAGAAAAGTACTCGTTGGCATGTTGCAGTTACCATGTTATTAACAAGTGCCCTCCTTTTTTTCTGGCCTCTGCCAGACCGAACAGCATTTAAAGGGGGGGGGTATTTGGAAATCCGCTTGACGTCCAATGGTCCCACTGTGCCTCTAACCACATCTGGCTCGGCCATCACGGAAACAAAATGAGATCATGCAAGATGTGGTGTCGGAAACTCCAAGGCCTCTGCTTGGTCCTTTCAGGGACCTGCGAGCTAAGGACTCCTGAGCCATGAGGCAGCCTTTCAAATCGATCTGAACTTCAAATCCTTCGGTCGGAGGCCAGGACGGGGCTCCTGCTGATTTCCAGCTGTCCTGCCAAGACTCAATCCAGTGATCTCCCTCATGCGTAGCTCACCAACATGAATAATGCATTGCACTTCCTTATGTACTTTGTGTATGGTAATCCCACACTACATCCTGACTTAAGTAAATTCCTGTTTTGCACTATGTAAACTACTGTCATTTATATTGTACCGCGTAACGCGTCTATCAGGGATATTGTCCTTGTACAAAGAACAGACTGCATTGGACTAACAGTTACTGTTTTAAGTTAGCTTAGAGAAAAAATCTCAAAGGAATGGATAATTATTATCTCCATCATTATAAATAATGTGTTCCTTATTTATCAATAAATCTACAATTTCTGCCAGATTTAAAGTACTTAATTCACAGAATGTGGATCACTGGAAATGTATAATTATGAATCATAGCTGTGGAATGGATAGTTATACAGAATTTATTTTTGGTGCGCTACTACTTATTGCTACAACTTACCCCTTACAAGATGTCAGATTAAACCCCCATTTTCTGGGCTATCTCAAATATTTGCTGTGGGGTTGAAGACCATAAATATTTTTACACTTGTCTAAGTTTTACACTTTATGAAATTTTAACACTCGTTATCTATGAGTGTCAAGATAATATGCACAAATACTCCTGTCAGTTTCTCATTGGTATTCCCTTGAAAATTGCTCCCTTAAGCACTGTAAAAAAAAGAAATAAAAATCACTCAGTGATTTTAAACTGTCAGATTAAACTGAACCCTTTTTCAAATTCTTCCTTTCTGGCTATTTTTCAGATTGACTTTAATTTAACCCCATATGAAACCAAGTCTATTCAAACAAAATTATTCAAACAAAGCTGCCACAAGTTTTAAGAATCTTTACACGGCATGAACAAGCAAAAAAGTGCAGTTGCCTTTTCCTCCCATTTAAAATATTTTTTTTGCCCTTGCACAGCATCAAACCATATAAATGATTTAGCTCTGTTTGTTCTCTTTTGGCTTCTTCTGTTTGCCAAGTTTTACAGGAATTAATTTCTAGACATACCTGTGATGCCACAGATATTTGACCAGTGAAGCTTTTGTGTCTGAGGAAAGTCTAGGAATGAAAGGGGGCAGTGTTCAGGAGTGAGGTGAGCTAAGTGCTCAGTGATAGAAAACCATGGCATCCTATGGCATAATGCCATTATATGTCATTTAAAAAAAAAACTGAGAACAAGACAACTGTTTGTGACAGAAACATGATCTTTTTTTTTTCTACTTGCATATCAGCTCTCACCTCACTTTCACGGTCTTACAGTACCTGGGCGATTTCCCTCCCTCCTGTTGTATTTTGCTCAACCAGTAAAATGATCCCATGGAATGCTCATTTTCAAAAGATTTGGGACTTTTTTTATATAAAGCCAGTCTTTGAAATACTTATGAAAGAAATTTTGTATTCCCCATCCCTTGCCTGCTGAATTGACTGCATTATTTGTATAATTTTTAAACACTTGGATCTTATTATAATTTATGATCGTCTGGAAGACACAAATTAACGCAATCTGCACCAGGAATGGGAGCATATTTCTGTTTTAAAACTCAGAGTTGGTTGTGAGCTAGAGGTTAGTGTTACACACACATTTTTGATATTCTGCATGGCGTTAATTTCATTTTAGGATGTCTCTCTTAGGTGTTCTCTTGAAGGAAAAGACCAGATGAGATCTTTTGATAAATTAACTACTAACTACTAGACTAGCTAGATGGGCTTAATAGCTCATTTGTATCCTTTACGTACTCAACACAACAAACAGAAGTATGCATAAAATCCTAAACTAGATCTGTGCTCATACCCATATTAATTTACTAGCATCTTACATGAGATGTTTTTTTTGCTCTTTTCTATCCATGGGGTTGCAGTTTTTAGGCTGTATGCAGAATGTACCAAGGGTACAACTGCCCTAAGCAAACACTAGAGGGCGATAAGGGCTTCCCAAGACGAGCACCTGCCTATGGAATGTTAAGAGCCTGCATTCTCAG